AGGAGAGCACCCGAACACTTCAGGCATTCACACACATTCCACCTATAGCATTGCTATGAATAATTGCACCAAATTAGAGCGTACAAATTGTGATAAGTATCAACAATCAACATTACACTTCAATTATGAATATCCACTTGAATCAACAATGTCCATTATGCGATCGTATTACTGAGGATTGCTTGTTATCGTGATAAGCTTTATAAGACTGTACGGTTATACCAATTCGATGCAATGGGGAGGGATTTATGATGAATCGACGCAACTTAAAGCGAGTGACAAAAGGGGCAACTAGATCATGTGCAATAAAACCGCTTTAGAAACAAATAGACGCTGATCACAATTACTTGTAACTGCGGAGAACCAAAGGCATGCGAGATATTAATGAAATAATGAATTGTCCCTATTCAGCGATCTTCACTTCATCCTCATTCTAGAGTGAAAATTTCAGACGACTGATTTATCGGCTTTTCAGTTATTGAAATACTTTCACAAATAGAACAGCGTTCCTTAATCGTGTCAATGGTAACAGCAACGTATGCACTCCATAAAAATAAACTAATTGAGCAAAGAAAGCAATCGAAATGCAGCCGTGATGCATGCATACGAGAGAGATATACTGTGTGCTAATCNAATTTTTGTAAATGGGGTGAATTAACATTTGGTCTTCACACTTTTGATTCCGGTACGCAGAGACGAGTATAAAAAACACGCGAACAGATGTTTCAGGATACTTCTGAATGAGACTCGAAGAGAGGAAAGTTTTGAATATGTCTGATAAATGAATAAATGAACAATCAATTATCAATGCTTTATTGGTACTGATGTTTTGAAGATTACGGTAATTCACTTCCTCATTTGATGATGATTGCAAAGGAAATGCAATAAAAAATGGGCCCATGTGGTACAGCAATTCAGTTGCAGAAACGAGATCAATATCACGCAACAAAATTCGAGCAACTTTACAAGTTTAGTTGAGATTTGCTTCAAGGATAATACCAAGCTGCTATCACTACACAAGTAACAAATATCCACAAATAAGATTAGTTCAGAAGCGAACAAGTTGGGTGAGCAAACAAGCCGAACGTTTTATGAACTATTATTTACTACCTAACTTAATGAAATACATTAAAATTTAAGAATTCTGCGAAACTATTAAATAATTACCGACCATCCGGAAAACGGTTTATAAGAATAGAGAGACAATTCGCCAACAAGTTGTATCGGAAATGAGAATAATAAAAGCACCGAATGGTACTGGTTTGACATATCCACCAGGACATTCCAATTCAACGGACACTGCCGACCATCCGGAAAACGGTTTATAAGAATAGAGAGACAATTCGCCAACAAGTTGTATCGGGAATGAGAATAATAAAAGCACCGAATGGTACTGGTTTGACATATCCACCAGGATATTGCAATTCAACGGACACTGCCAGTAAAAGGCTGGGCAATTCACAAACGGAGAGTTGATGAGAAGTTGTATTCTTTAAATCAATAAGCTCTAAACAACGATAACAATCTCTAAGAGGTGATATCATTTACGAGAAGAATTTATAGGGACCGAATTTGCGGTACTACAAAGAATAAAGCTAAACAATCTTGCAAAATTGTGCTGCCCGAGAAAAATCATGGATACATGAATAGATTGATGGAGAGATACCACTAAATGATGCAATTAACACGAGTTTAAAGGACTTACAAGGCATTTTCAATAACTCAAGATCATCCATTTTTGGCGAAATGAATGCAGAAATTTGGCGAACGCTTACTAAGCCCTTTAGATTCAAGAATGAATTCGGGAAAAAATCTGGATTTGTAGATTGGAAGAAGGGCAGATTGAACGAGAACATTGGCGTTAAAATAGTTCGCGGATTCACCATATTCCCAACCTCTGGGTTGAAGATTTCGTGATAGTCTTATTGCTTCCTCATGGAATTGTTTTTTTCCGAAAACGTTTAACAGTGATTTCAGTATGTATCTCTTATGAGTGCTTGTCATTGCAGTGATTATCATCAAGAGCATTACCTTCAGAGGAATGCTTGTCCTGCGGTGGTGTGGACGATGTGCTGTGGTAAGAACAATCACTTTTCGACGATCAGATTCAACACTGGCGGAAAAGATGAGGCATGCTGCGGAAGGGGTTGAATTAGTGGAATCAGAAGCCGCACATCAGAAGGATCGACTGGAAACCGAGTTTGATGAGAAAGTCAGTGGTACTCTTCTTCATCGTTCAACTGCTCTCTCTCGTATCGTGTTGATTTCCGATGTTCATTTCGTTCGATTTTCGCTGATATTTTAATAGTTCAAAAAGTAATCCAATTTCTGTGTGCAGTTTCCATCATTTTGATAAGTTAAACACAAAATAGCACTCGGTCTTTAGTATTTAAAAGTAGTTTTTCAATAAGAGTAATCGAATTTTAAGGGTGAACCATTTCGTGAGCTGTTCGTAATGCCACATCGTAAGCTGAATGCTCAACTCCAACTTGAGCGATTGACAGGTCGTGCGAAAGTTGTACGGTACAGTCGAATGGATATCGCAGATCGTCTTGCTGTAAGTTGAAAATTGTACTGGTCTTAGTCTTTACCGGGGAATGAACAGTTATTTTTTTTAAATCATCATTAATTTCATATGATGCCTCATTCTAATAAATGGATCGTTAGAATGAGACATTATATGAAATTCGCGTACATTTTCGTATGTAACCCGTGCTGTTATCAAAACTGCCCTTATATTAGCAATTTTATTGATGATTGGTTTTGTTAGTGGTTCCCATTAGTTCAGTCTGAGGTTTCTTCTGAAGACAAGCGCCATCGATTATTTGCAGGTTCGCCGACCCAGGTACGAAGAAATGCGCACTGATCAAGATTGGCCTAGTGTTTGGCCTGTAGCCGCATCGTTCCGTTCATCTGTGGTACCTTTACCAATTCGAATGGGCTCTAGACCTCATCCTGAAAAAAGACCGCCGTTTCAAAAGGTTGCCGTTCTGAATTTCTTTGCCTCATCGCAAATCTCATAATCAGTTCAGTGTAATCATGTCGCGGACAAGATGTTCAAATGAATGATTCTTGTTGTTCGTTCATAATGTTCATTCGAATGTGCATTCGTGTTCATCACTGAAGTGTGCAACTCATTTCAGTTGGGCAATTTAGAACTGATGAAGATTCCAAATTTTCTCCACCTCACTCCAGCCGCTATTCAACGACATTGCAATGCCATAAAAAGTATGTCATCGTACACACATCTCTAGAGAATTCTTACCGCTATTCATTTCTTAAAAAGGATCTCTGCGGAACGTTTTCATTTGTTTGTAAAGATTCAAGCTGTTCGAACTGCCGTCTGAAGGTTCTTTCTTTTCAGAATTTTGTACAGAATGGCCTGAAGAACTTAATAAGAGCGAAGTTCGTGAGGCAAATTTTCCAGTTACTGTATCCTACAGTGATTATGTACATCAAGGTACATCGTTGCGAGATCCAAGGGCACGAGTTGTTACGATTACTCTGAAATTGGCCTCGTTGCAACTCAACGATGCAGCTCGTGAAAAATTTATGCGTTTGGCTGGAAATCGTTACAAGGAAGCAACTGATACCCTTACAATTATTACGGANTGATGATTTATTGAAAATGATAATAACCATTAAAAAATAATAATATCACTTGTAATACTAGTAATAATGTGAGTTTCGATCTAATGATTGAGATAATTGTCAATTGCAGATGTTATACGCGCAAGCAGAATCGAGATTATGCATTCTATTTGTTAACGGCTCTTTATCACGAATCAATTGTAAGTTGTTGTATTTAATCATTTTTTGGATTTTCTTGATTACGATCTTGACATGATGTGTTATATTGATTGTATGACGGATGTAATTGGTGATCTTCATGATCTATAGCTGTCACTATTGAAGGAGCTGTAAGGTAGCGTATGAATATGACCAGCCTTCTTTCGTAATGCTGTCTGACGATCAGTTGTTAACGGTCGTTTTGCTGCTATTTTTCGTTGATGTTATCATTATTTGTTTTAGCATGAGTATTTCTTAATGAAACAGTCTTTAGTTTAGCTGATTTCGTATTCGTTTTGCAGAAAGCCGAAGCATGGGAGAAGATGGCACAGCGAGTCGATGATCTCAAGGTGAAATATGACGGATCGCCAACACAACGAAGTGTTGAAGAAGTCATCGAAAGGCTGCAAACCGAGAAGGTTATCACTTCATTGTGTTTGTCTGAATTTTAATGTCGTTCTACTTCAGTGGAAGATAATGCCTCTATCATATACACTAATTTGCTTTTGACTGCCGATTTTGCAGAAGATGTCAGCAAACGACGATTCCGGAGCAGTTCCAAGCGTTCAGGATTCAGAACCTGCGTCCGTTCGTGAACATATGGAGAATTTCAAGGAAATGTGGCAGAAGTATCGAAATGAGGTGAAGCTTTCGGTGTTTATTGGAAGTTTTCATCGATTTGATCATTACAATCTGGTTTGATTATATTTTGGAATGACTTTCTCATTGGTTTGATAGTGTTCAATATAGATAATATAATGTCAGTTTCCAATATTTCCAATATCTACAATATAGATAATGTTTATTCCTCAGTGTCCTCTCTTTCAGACAGAAACCCCGGAATCGGTGAGACATTATGATGAATGCGTAAGAAGTTTATTGGGAATCAAACCTCTTGTGGATAATGGAGTATCTGATGAAAAGTGATTTAAAGTAGTGCTTAGAGAATTTTTTTATTTCATTGTATGAAAAATTTCGATCTTATCTTGTTCTGTAATTGAATGTTCGTTTGAAGAATCAAATTGTTATGGTGTGAATAACAGATAAATGATTCATTTATATAAGCTTGTTATGCACAGCTCTGTTCATTTAGCACCGGTCTAACTGCTCTGATTGTAATGTTGACCTTTTATAGGTCATTTAAAGTTTGGAATGTGCATACTGGATAATTTAGAGTAGTTAAACGAAAGACGATGAAATGAAATTGAAATTCTGATGTTCGTAAAACTTGTGTGCAGAATTTTGTGTGAAAATTTTGTCTGTTTTCGGATAGTTTGATTT